TGGTGGGGGGCGTCACCTGCTGGAAAATGGGTCCAGCGTCCCTATACATATATAACATCAGCTGAGACCTTTATAAGAGTTTGCTGTAAGTGTGCCTATCTTGGCTGTGGTTGTACCTCCAGGTCAGACTCCCCGTCCCGAGTAGTATGCTGCTTTGTAGTATTGTGTCCTACCTTATATCCTACCATCTATTTGTGGACAGCATCATCTGCTGGAAACCGAGTCCAGCGTCCATGTACAATCCAATGTAGCATGTCTCAGATCCTCGCCTGAGTGTTTGTCATTGCCTAAGCACTGCAGTCAATCATCTTCTACCCCCGGGGCAGCAGAGACTGCTTTTTAATGCCAATTGGGGGGACCAACGTGCTATCTCTAGGTGGTGGAGCATGCCCAGGAAGGTACATGAGGCCAGTGGGGATTGAACCCAAGACCTCCTGAGTGCCACTTGCGTGCCTTTACCAACTTAGCTAGGCCGCTGGATAATCTTCCGCAAGAAAATGGAAAGATGCACGGCCACGATTTTTTGTCTTTTGTGCATGTCGAGAGTAGTGCAGCGATCCCCTATGCACCCCTCACGTCCGAGCTGCAATTGGGTGAGATCTCGGCGCCCTTCGGCGCGCCCATAAGACGGGGGCCGAAAGCCTGTTGAAGGGGCTTCGGCTAGAAGCATCGAGCGTGGGCTGATCGCCGTTTGTCACCGTTGATCGCCGTTTGTTGAGCGGTCCGTGTTCTAGCCGACCTGCCGTGACTCAGGTTCTGCCGAAAGAGATCGCAAAGCAGTAATCGCGCTTCAGACGCCACGTCAGTCATGGCTGTGCCACGCAAGAATGGCGCGGCTGACGTGGACCGACCTGCTGTTGACGGGAACAGATTTCGTAATGACGTGGCCGGGATAACTGCTGACGTGGATCGGATGAATGTGGACGTAAACCTGGCGTATGTGGGCGTCGGTTGCAACAGAGTGGCACATACATTGGCCTGGAGCAGCGTTTCAGGCTTGGTCGCATTTGGCGCGCACAATGCCGTCGCTATTTACGATCCTGCGGTCAGTTCCTTCTCTCCCTCCTCTCTCACCTCCTCCCTTACCTTCCCCCCCTCTCTACCTTCCCTCCCTCTCTTCTCCTGTCTTCCCCCCCGCCTAAGTCACACACATGTACATGTGGTCTCCTTCCTCTCTCTCCCTGCTTTCTTTCCTTTCTTCTCCCTCCTCGTCTTCTGCCCCTTCTTTTTACTCGTAGTGTTTTTTTTTTTTTTTTTTTTTTTTTTTTTTTTTT